TGGGAGCAACCCATCACCTTTCTGGAGACATGCGACCACACCACCTGGACCCGTTCCTGTCTGCAACTCCTGAACCTTTGGCTTCAATCCCAGACCTGCCTGACTACACCTCTTGGACCTGCTTGGACCCTTGACTAGCTTCCCATGTGTATGACCCTTGGACTGAACTCTCGACTTTGCACTTCTGGTTAGTGATTCTTTCTTGTCCCCTTGGCCTTGGCTGAGTCTGCTGTGACCCAGGACAATACCTCCTGTAAATATATAGGCAAAAGAAACCTGTTTGCAATATGACTAACTGTTCTTTCTGTGCTTGTAATTTTTTTAAAATAAAGAAGGTTAATGAGAGGATGTAATAAAACGTACCATACCCCTTCTTTTGGCCAAAAGTTTTCCTAAAGCAATGAAATACCACCAGTTTTGTTTTGAGCTTTGCTTTGAAACAGAGAGCCTGTACGAAATATGTGCACTGCAGAATGTGAACAATAAAAGTTTATAAATAACATCTGCAATGAAAATGTGAAGGCAGAATCTCGTTTTTTTGCTCATGCAGAATCTGTTGGGATTACAGACTGAAATTTATGTCTTGGAGCATGAGAACAAATCCTCTCCAGGGAAATTAAGCAAAAAATGGAAGAACTTTTTTCCAGTGAGAAGAAACCAGTCCTTGGAAATACAATAGATGACAGGGATTATTTTCCTCCCGATAAACTGTTGTAGGCAAGCATATGCCCCAGTCCAGGAAGGGCTAGACTCTGCAGATATCTCCTCTGTGAGTTCACTCACTGCATGGGGAAGGAGTGCGGGTGATTGTCCGGGCCCTGCCCCCCACTTCCATGTTATCCCTGAGCAGCAGGCCCGTAGCTACAGTGGGACCTCTCGGGGCCCAGCCCCCTGATTTACCACCGAGGCCCCATGACTTCCCATCCAGGCTAGCCCCCCCCTGAAAAATCCTTATTTTATTTTATTTTTTGTGCCGCAGTGAGCCGTTGCGCTGCACCACACCATCGCCCTCACCAAGCCTGCCTACTGGAGCTGAGTCTGCCCTCACCCCATAACCTCACTGGCCAGGCCAGCCCTCCATTCCAGATGGGGAATGGAAAAGAAGCAAAGTAGTGGTGGCGGGGTGCGTGTGTCAATCCGGCACCCATTCTCCTGGTTTTCATCTGTATTGTGAATCGCTCCCTACCTGCCCCGTGCCCTCCAACTTTTTAAAATGCCCCCGACCAGGGGTCTTGTTGTAGAAAAAGAGCTGCCGGAGCTCATTAGCATAACTCATTAGCATAACTTATTTGCATATGCCACGCCCCCTGACATCACCGGAAGTGACAGAAGGCCACACCCCCTGACATCACCGGAAGTGTGTCAGAAGGCCCGGCTACTTACCCTCCTGCTTCATCCTCATTCCCAAACGGAATGAGGATCGAAGCAGAGGGCGGGGTAAAGAAGGGGGCGGGGCTTCACCACGTGACCGCTCCGCCCCCTAGAGGTTCTCTTCCGGAGCTCCGTACCTGAGAGCTCCCCCCCGACTAGAGCCCTGCCCCCGACTTTTAAAAAATCCTGGCAATGTACCTGCTGAGTGGTCTGCGTGGGGCGAACATGTGTACACCTGCTCCTCACGACCAGCAACGTTCCAAAAGCAACCTGGCTGATCACGGGAGGGGATGTACATGCGGGCACTTCCTCTTTGTGTTGGCCCAGTGTAGACTACTTGGCAGTTGCATGGAGGGGGGAGGCAGGGCCACCACACTTGTGCCCACTCCGCCTCCCTGCATTATGAGTGAATATCTAGACAGGTGTCAGCAAGCTGCCAATATGTTTCCCTGTTCTCTGTGTATGCTCCTATGTTTCCCTATCCTCTGTGTATGCTCCGAGGTGTCCCTATTCTATGGGTATGCGCTTGTTTGCTTTCACTTTCCCATGTAAGCCTGTTTATGCGCTTAATTGCCTAGTTGCAGGAACGTCCATATCTCTCAAGGCCACAGGTGGTTGCTGGCGGGTAGTAGCTTGGGTGATCTTATGGCATTATCCATGAGAAGCAGTATGTTATGATTAAGTAGGAGCGTTGCTTCCCAGGCTCAATGGCGCGCACGGGAAGACCCGCAATTGGGCCTCAGCTTTTTGAATTTCCTATAATCTATGGGGATCCATGCTTATGCCTCATTCTGAACAGTGATCCTGTTATGCACCTATCGCTTCAAAATAAAAGCTTTCCTACAAGTGTGTGCTTTGTTGATGTGATGGGAGTCTGACAACAGGTAATCTGCCGATGACTACAATACGTAGGGAATCTGTGTACGCACATGGTTGTACATGGGGTCCGAACAGGAGTAAATAATTCCAAAAATATAAAAAAGACGGCTTCTAATTTTATACCCCCTTTTTATGCATTTACTATTTGGCTTAAATAAAAATTCCATTTTTACAAGGCAAAATTATTTAAAACATTTATTTGAAGCAAAATTAAACACAGTTGAGATTACATAGAAATACAAATTTCAACCAAAGCACTAAACCGTTTTCATTAAAAATGTCACTTTCAGGTTGAATCAATTTAGGTTTTCTCATATTGATTGGTCAGACAGAGCTGATTTAGCAATTTGCAGAGTCAATTACCCATAAAAATCAGTAAAACAAAGATTCCTTAAAATGTGGAAATATTTTTTCCCGAGTCTTCTGTTACCGTCGATAGTAAATGGACCCTAAATATATGCCTTTTATGTAAAGCTTTTGTTTTTAAAGTACAATAAAAAATACAAATTCTATTTGTTTAAAAAAGCCAGTAATGTGGCTACTAAACATCCTCGTTGTACAAATTGCAAAATACTATATGACAAACAAAATTATAGACTTCTTCCTATGAAACATAGCCTACTCTACTTATTAGTGATTCACATATATCTATATCAACAGGCACGTAGGCCAGGATTCAAAGCATGATATGGAGTCTGCGCATGCACAGTGGCTTTGGGGGGGTCTCCTTTCCTATAGCAGCCTCTGAAGCAGTACTTGATACAGCTCTTGGGTTTGCACCCCAAAGGGAAAAAACTAAGTATCTTCCTATGCATGTGCAGAAGCATTTTTGCGTGGCCACAACGGCCATTGGATCCTGGCCGTAGACATAGATATACATGCAGGTTGCCCAAATAATAAAAAAGGAAGACTTAACACAATGCAGAACAGGAAAGACTCAGAGGAGCCACATACCGAAGCAGGTACCTAAACGAGTGAAGGATCCCCCAACGCTTTAGCCGTCTGCGTAAGTATCCTCTCCCGGCCTGGGTCTTTGCTTCAAGGTAATAATACTGCATAAATGCATTCTATCTTCTGTGTAAACCTCGCAATAAAAAGCTAAAAAACCTATATTTTGCAACCCAAGTACCAGAAAACTAGTTCTCCCCCCCACACACACCACAAAAATAAAACCGCCAAAATAACATCTGACGTTTCTTCTCTGACCCTTCCTTCCCCCCCTCCTTTAGTGTCTTCGGTGAAAAGATGAGGATCCAGACAGGAGGAAAGAGCTCGTCCGGAAGTGAATCCTGTCTCTTTTGTTCGATATCGAGAATGATTGTGGCGAAAGGGAAACACAAAGAAACACGTGGATCGGGTGAACGCAAGGAGTGTGCAAACGACAGTGTTCACTTATTGCTCGTTTAAAGGCCAGTGGGGGAAAAATATGCATAGACATGGCAGCAGGTGGCTGGCTCTCGGCAAGTCATTTCCATACTTGATGACAAATGCCCCCTTGTAATAAGTTCTGTGCAGTCGGAGTCTTCTCCCAGTGCTTCTTCCCAAGCTGGGTAAACTTCCTCTGAGCAACTGTGGTCAAACTGTTCACCTGCAACTGTTGCTATAGGAAAGGGGTCCCCAAACTATCTGAGCCCGCGGACACCTTTCAATCTCTTATGAAGGGTGGTGGGCAGAGCCACAAAATGGCTGCTGCAGGAAGTGAAGCCAGTCACAAAGTGGCTGCTGCGGGAGCTGAAACCAGCCATATAATGGCTGCTGCCACTTACCTTCTGCCACGCAGACGAGACCGATCCTGTTAGCTCTCAGACGCTAAGCAGGGTTGGCCTTGGCTAGTATTTGGAAGGATCCAAGGGGTACCAGGGTCGTGACACAGAGACAGGAAATGGGAAACCACCTCTGAAATGTCTCTTGCCTTAAGAACAAGTCTAGCTCGCCACCTAGTGGTGCAGAACACTAAAAGAGCTAGAACTTCTGGCTGCCAGACAATCTTGGGATCTCCTGGTTATTCTAGACATGGTGCCGTATGATGATAATAATTATTATGTCACACAGTGAAGATCCTTGTGCTGTGGTTTCAGCTTCTGAAAAAGTGACATTTAAAAAATCTGCACAGCCGATGAAATCTCCAATGGCCAATCAGAAACTTTGCTGGACCAAAGCCCCACCTGGCTCCACCCACTTTCTAAAACACTTGTGGGGGTGCCGAGAAAGATGTCAGTGGGACTTATGGTGTCCACAGGCACTGTGTTGGGGACCCCTGCTATAGGATAGTCAACTGGATGAGTTTTCCATTCTTTAATAATATTTATACCAAGGAGAATTTATGTAGTATATATCAGAGTAACGTCCCTCCGTAGACACTGCTTAGAAGGCTAACAATGCCACCATGTGCAGAATTACACCATTCTGTGTCCATTGACTTTACTTATTTTTTAATTTTAATTTTATTAGATTAGTATCCCGCCCTCCCTGCATAGCAGACTCAGGGTGGGTTCCGTCATAGATCATACACAAACAGTTAAAAACAATTAAAATACAACTACTACTTATTCCTGTGTTTCAAACCAGCGCCTCCACAGGTGAGGTCTACTACAATTTGGGTTCCAAATGATGACACATCTGACCCGCTGAAGGGGAGGCCCAACTAAAAGCCTGGCGGAAGAGCTCCATCTTGCAGGCCCTGAGGAACTGTAAATGGTCCCGCAGGGCCCTGATCTCATATGGGGGTTCATCCCACCAGGTAGGGGCCACGGACGAAAAAGCCCTGGCCCTGGTTGAGGCAAGACGGACATCCCTGTGGCCGGGTACCACCAGAAGGTGCTGATTTGCTGAGTTCTCCTGGGCTCATAAAATGGACTTAGAAAGGTGTACCTCCGCATAAGACGGCTCTGTAAATCTGATTTTCTTCAATGTAGAATTGGATCGTGTGCCCTGAGACCATTCTCTAGGCTGCTGACATCCCAATGAGTGCAACCACAAAATTCCACAGAAGGCTTTTCTTCATAAATCTCAGGGCTTTCTCTCATGGTTTAGGTAAACGAAATCCTAGGGGTGTGTCCGGGGAGAGTGGCTTCCCATGACAGACAGTAGCTTAACATAGCTAAAGAGATCTCCTCATGTATATTATGAATTAAACTTTCCTGAATACAACAGGACTTCCAAATAAACTCCTGAGGAGTGGGGTGGTAGGTCCCAATCCTAAACTTGCTTAGGTCTACAGGCATGCTTCCATGTTAAGATATGGGTGAAAACAGACCATTCCTTACCACACAAACGTAGTTGTTTGAAACAAGTCCCACCAATTACAAACATACTGTGGATCGTGAAACAAACTTAGCATATCGAACCAGAAGCGCTGGTCATTTGACCTTTTCAAACATTACCGCTGCGGTTGTTTGAGGGCAGTTATCGATCAAAGCATTCAGATTTGACAAAGATTGACTGGTATGTTTGTGTCCTGTCAACAGGGCGACTACACACCAATCCAACGAATCCGACACACACATATGCTTCTGTTCGTTCCCACGCCGAACAATGTTCACGCACAAAATCCAGTCCCGACGATGAACAGGGGCAGCGTGAATGGAGCATTTTGCAGTTCTGGAGGCCCAGGCTGTGTCAGAACCAATAATGGGACATTATTATGAGGCATTTGCAGTCATGTGCAGTGGAAGTTCCAATTCTGGGGTATTTAAGTAACGGCTGGCAACATGGTGAAAATGACCCGACGGTTCATTAAGACCCAAGTGAGGGAACTGTGAGTTCAAAATGTGACCGTTTCCAATAACAGTTCCAAAGGATGTGGTCTACCGACACAGAAGCGGTACGGATGGAAAGAAATCCCTGCAGCACCAGGTGTAGCAAAGAAGCAGCACGAAGTCATGGAGGTTTCATATACAAGTGAGGCTCTTTACATTTGTACAGGGCTAATACTGGAGCCTTTTTGGAGTTCTACAGAACGAAAACCTCACCAAAAAAAATTGAACAGGCTGAAAAACAATTTTTGGCACATTAACAGTTCTTTTTTTTTTTTTTGTAATACATTTTCCGAACTTTTTTTCCTGTTTTAAAAAAATTGATCGTGTAATTATTCCAAATTTCCGTTCTTGCATCAGCACCTGCTGTCTAAGGGATCAAGGCAGAATACGGTGCCTTCCAGAGTCAGTCCCATTTTGAACCCCTCCTGGAACAAGAGAAAGAAAAGAATGAGGGTGGGGGGAACGGATCGTTGACACACATCAGTGCTGGAAAAACCTGAGCTCAAGCTTGTGTGTAGTCTGTCTACTGGATCCTGTGAAAAACCTGTATTGCCCATCCTCTGCATAACGGACCTGGTGAGAAAGCTGGGATCCCTTGAGTCAAATTCTCAGCAGAAGACTTCTCTCCTAGTGGAAGACAGCTAAGTAATCCAATCTTACATATCTGAACCACATAGAGTCCAGTAACACGTTAGAGACCAACACGATTTTCTGGGTAAAAGCTTTTGACAGTCAAAGATCCCTTCATCAGACTTCATCTTGAAAGCTGATACCCCGAAAAGTGTGTTTGTCTCTAAGGTGCTACTGGAGTTCTTCTAACACAGACCAACATGGCTACTCTCTGAAACGAAAAACATTTTAACCAGTTGTTTTATGTACAATAGACGTTTAAATAACCGCCTTAACAGATATGAGCTACTGGCATTGTTCAGTCAAATTGACTGGGCACCATAAATCTACACAGAAATTTATATCAAAGCCGAAACGATTCAACGGGATGACTCTCGGATTAAGACTAGTTCTCAAAACGCTATCTCACATGAAATTTAAAGCAAATGTAGAGGTTCTTCCTTTATTGTCTCAAGATTTATAATAGCAAGAGTCACAATAAGACTTTTCCAGGAGGGAGGTGTTCTCTCCCCCCGTGACTCCTAGCTAAGAATGAAATCCTCTTTAATACTTTTGTTGTTGTTCAGTCGCACAGTCGAGTCCGACTCTTCGCGACCCCATGGACAAGATCTCGCCAGGCCCTCCCGTTTTCCGCCGTCCTCTGAAGTTTGCTCAATTTCATGTTCGTTGCATCTTTATCTTTAATACTAGAGATAGAAATTTAGTAGACATTATCTTTCTTCGGTTGCCTTTACTTTGAAAATTTCAGTCCGATAAGCAAAACTGAGAATAACCGAAAGCAAGTGTAACGAATTTAGAGTCCCGTAGCACCTTTAAGACCGACAAAGGTTTATTCAAGGTATGAGCTTTCTTGTGCATGCACACCTTTCCAAATAAATTGGAACGGAAGGTAGAGTTCAAATTTATAGACAGAGGCTGAACGGCAGATTAACATGGAACATGATGAAGATGTTTTAAGATACACAAAGACAAAACTAAACGACAAGCTAAGGTTATAAGGTCAACAGTTGTTTTGATTTAATTAAGGGGCGGGAAGAACAGTAAAGGAATACATATGTCAAAATAGGTGATAAACGTGTAAAGGTATCTTTTCTAATTGGGGGAAGTAAACTGAGACGCTCTATCCATGTGCGTGTTAAGCACTGACAAGTTGCTTCTGACTCATGGTGACCCTATGAATTAATGTCCCCCCCCCAAACCTCTTCTCATGAACAGCCTTGCTCTAGTCTTGACTGAGGGCCTTTGTGGCTTCCTAGATTGAGTCCATCCATTTCAGGTTGGGTCTTCCTCTTTTCCCGCTGCCTCCAACTTTTCCTGGCATTATTGTCTTTCCTAGTGACTATTATATTCTCATCACGTGACCAAAGTTCGATCGCCTCAGAAAAGTCACAAAGGCAGCTCTAAGACAGTTAAATCCAGTGCGCTTCTTATTTTATTGCTTGAGGAAATGTTCCTGGCATCTCTCGTGATAGAAAATGCGCTGTACAAGTTACACAAGGCCCATGCCGCATATCATCAGATTAATGTCTGTATTTTATAACTTGGTGACATGACTTTCCTGTCTTACTGAAATCTCGTCAGACATTTATGACTGCTAGATGAAGAAAAGCAATACATGCATACAGGCTTGGATCTAGCCATGTGCAAGCAGTTCTGCCTCCACAAGGGCTAGCACTTTCTTCCCCATAGATTACCGTAGCCAGAAACTGCACAAGATCTTGCGCAATTGGAAATGCAAGAGGGGGTACAGTAAGTTTGACTTCGCGCAAGCAGATACCACCACCTTTTCCTTGTGTTTCCACCTGCATAAGAGCTCTAGCACAGGTGGAAATTCTGCGCTGGATCTAACCCAGTATGTTTTACAGTAGTATGGCAAATTATAGATCAGGGCTGGAAGCTGTTGCTAGATTCCTTGCATACTTTTAAAAACAATCTTTCGTATTTAGTGTTTTATTGACTTGCTCTGTTTTTGTCTTACCCACAATCCCACCAACCTACGGTTGAAGGGTTTATTTATTTATTTTATCACATTTCTACCCCATCCTTCCAGCCGAAGCCGGCTCTGGGCGGCTTACAAAAAACAATGCATAAATTACAATAAAAACAATTAAAACGCTTAGAACAATACTCCAACCAATTGAAGACATAAAGTGCTAGTATTATTGTCCTGGTTGTTGTTGTTGTTGCTTCAGCGATGGCCGAATAAATAAAGATCAGGGCAGTGCGGTTCCAAAAATCTAAACCGCAGGCCAGAATGTGAACTGATTAAAAATCCCTACTTGAAATTACAGATGGCTGGAAATACAGTTAGGCAATATAATATTAAGCATGGCGGTATAATCAGAGAGGTAATGTCTGTCCCTAGCAGAAGTGGCTTTAACAGTAGGTTCATACAGAAACAAAACGGGGTCACGTCAAGTGTACACACCCATTACAGATGCCATCAAACAGGCCTCCATAACCCATGCCAGTGATACGTGTATTGTGGGGTAATGCCTGAATTCTTCCCATGCGCCAGTCCAATCAATGCATTATTAGTATAGATTCAGGTGGGGGTGGCCGTGTTGGTCTGAAGCAACCGAACAAAGTTTGAGTCCAGTGGCACCTTTAAGACCAACAAAGTTTAATTCTGGGTAGAAGCTTTCGCGTATCTGAAGAAGTGTGCATGCACACAAAAGCTTATACCCAGAATTAAACTTTGTTGGTCTTAAAGGTGCCACTGGACTCAAACTTTGCTCTGCATTATTAGTGTGTCATTGGTGCATACACTTTGTGTGCGAATGCTATGCACAGTTGTGTGAGAGAGGCATTGAGAGGCACAACTTGCCAGCCTGGGAAAGAGGTTTTGGGTATCAACCATTGATGGGTGAGTACCTTTGAACCCATCCTGGGGTCAGATGTAATGCCCTGGCCCAAGCCCAATGACAAATGGTACCCATTAACCTTACCTGCCTGAAATTTTCTTACTCGGCTATGTTAGCCCTCTGTGCGCAAGGAACAGTGGCCAAGCTTTTGGCAGAAGCTTCCGGAGAGACCTATTTAATTAAACATACACCACCTGAAAGGACGGGCGATTAGTGGTGTTTCTAAGGGAAAACCCTATCGAGACACTTTTGGTCCTTAGTATAATTGTGATGAAGAAAGTCTTTTATGGCTACGACCCATATAAACAGTGGTGAGTCCTCGAAAGAAATAAAGCCCTGCCTTCTGCCCATGAAAGCTGAGACTCTTTCTGGTAAAATCCTCTTTTTAAAAAAACTTTCTTCTTGACTTTCAAATATGCGTCTAATTTCCAAGCTGGCTTGCTGCCTCAGCAAGCTTTCACAAAGGCCTGTTTCCATATGTGGAACTGGGCGATGCTAAGACCATGTGACACGGATTTACAAAGCCACACAACATGTATCTTCAAGAGTGACTCAGCATGGCCTCTTGTAGCATTGCTGGAAATCCTAGGATTGGATCTAAATGGCTCCGCTCTGATGTCCGCCATCTACTATACCACAGTAGAATCACGGGGTGGGGGGGGGGGGGGGGGGGTCCCAGTTCTGTACACCCCACAGAACCACACAAGCAGTGCTTGTGTTTCATCCTACGCATTTCATATTGTGCGTTCCAAGCAATGTTCTGTTTATCCGAGTTAAACCTGTTGTGACTTCTAATTTCCTCCCCCTGTTTTTAAGTTTCAGGATGTATCTCTCTCCACAGGACATGAGTTTTCATTCGGAGCACCATCTGCATACTAATTCGAAAGGATGACGCCTCCAGTGTAACAAAGGCACCTGTCATAATATTTTGGACAACTGAAAACAACAACAACAACAACAAAAAAGCATTTTGATTCAGCACACAAACACACAAACTACAATTAGCTGGGTCTAACAAAGTCATTGAGATATATATTCATTTCCCTGAAGCCGCATGTATGGGAAACGACTGTGTCTTGTGAAGTAGGCATACTTGTTGCATGGGAAATCTTCCCTGTCTGTGTTCGCTCTTTGTTGTGATAACTGAGCTTGTAATTTCTTAAGGAAAAGAGGAAAGAAATCCCAGATATTAGGAGAAGGCATATTTTGGAAGACCTGGTTGTTACTGACTTCTGCAGCTGATGGCCTTATGCCCTCAGGAAGAGAGGAGGAGGAGGAGGAGATTGGATTTATACCCCGCCCTTCACTACCCAAAGGTGTCTCAGAGCGGCTTACAAACTCCGTTCCCCTCCCCACAACAGACACCCTGGGAGGTAGGTGGGGCTGAGAGAGCACTGACAGAAACTGCTCTTTTTCAAGAACAGCTCTTGTCAGAACTACGGCTTGCCCAAGGCCATCCAGCCAGGTGCAAGTGGAGGAGTGGGGAATCAAACCCGGTTCTCCCAGATTAGAGTCTGCACACTTAACCACTACACTAAACAAAGAAGAAGAAGAAGAGTTGGTTTTATACCCCACCGTTCACTACCCGAAGGAGTCTCAGAGTGGCTTACAATCACCTTCGCTTCCTCTCCCCACAACGGACACCCTGCAAGGTAGGCGGGGCTGAGAGAGCTCTTGACAGAAACTGCTCTTTTTCAAGAACAACTCTTATCAGAACCATGGCTTGCCCAAGGTCATCCAGCCAGGTGCATGTGGAGGAGTGGGGAATCAAACCCAGTTCTCCCAGATTAGAGTCTGCACACTTAACCACTACACTAAACAAAGAAGAAGAAGAAGAGTTGGTTTTATACACCACCGTTCACTACCCGAAGGAGTCTCAGAGCTGCTTACAATCACCTTCGCTTCCTCTCCCCACAACGGACACCAACCCT